AAGAGGGACATCAGAGCCTGGAAGACACAGGGAGCGGAGGAGATGGGGTGAGGCGTGCAGGGACCCCACGCCGCAGCTACCCCTTCTCGGCTCTCTGTCTGCCTCTGAGACGTGTGGATGGGCAGGTGAGTGAGTGGGTAGGTGGGTGGATGGATAGAGGGTTGAGGAAGGAGGTGGATGGGTGGAGGGAGGGATGGACAGACGGACACGCAGGTAAACGAGTGAACAGAGGCATGTCCTCTGGGACCAAGAGGTCCCCCTTAGCAGAGCTGTGCCCCCCCCACGACAGTTCTCTGAGGACCTACTTGGAACCTGAGCAGCGCTGGCCCGGGACCCCAGGCCCGGTCTCAGGCCAGGCGGTCGTGGGCCAGGTGATCAGAATGGTGGCCTTGTTGAGGGGAGGGGTGTCCCCAAGGAACGCTCAGAGTTTTGTGGGCTCCACCCCCTCCTCCGGCTTTCTGGACTCCACCCCCTACTCCAGTGATTGGGAACTACAACTCCCAGCAGCACCAGGGAGAGAACCCAAGGGCGGAGCTAGCAGGCATTCTGGGACTTTGGGAGATCAATAGGGACCATTTGGTCTCTTGCAGCAATAGCTCTTGGGTCTCTTGGGCAATAGCTCTCAGCACCGCCTGACTCGGCGGGGCTTTTAGTTAGTTACCAGAGCTCCAAATCAGCCCAGCTGGTAAGATATTCCAGTTGTTGTTTCCTTTTCTTTTCCCCTTTTGTAAATAAACCCATTATTGACCCTTTTGTGTGCGCTGAAGTACAACTGAATTTTAAGCGTGCGGGTGAGGCCCCACAGACAGGCGCCCACTTCACACTGGGGTGCCCTGTAACAGTCTGGGCTCAGAGGTGGGGCTCTGGGGTGGGCGCCCTGCCTGACACCAGCCCTTCCCCCATCCAGGGCACAGACCCCTTCCCTTCCCTCCAGAGGGGAAAGGTGCCTGGGAGGCCCAGGCCCAGAAGCAGGGCTGGATGGTGGTGGGGGGGGTGAGTCAAGTGGGCGGGGCGGCCACACTCACCTGGCCCAGGTTGTCGAAGTTGTACTTGTGATGGACCCAGCGGTAGTTGGCAGCCACGCAGTCAGACCGGTTGGTGATGTTGCGGGTGTCCACACCCAAACAGTGGTAGAACTTGCCCTTGAAGAGCTGGGGGAGGGGCGCGTGAGTGACCACCCCTCCCCGCTCAGGCACCTGTCCCAGGGGCACGCGCTCCTTGGACACACCTGGCTCCCCAAGTCCCCACAACCTGAGGGGGGCTCAGCCCATCTCTCAGACACAGAAACTGAGGCCCTGTGGTGTCCAGGCGTGTGTCCGAGGTCTCCTGAGGAAGTGGCCAGCAGGGCCACAGCTCACACATGGCCACAGATCCTAGAGCTCGGCCACCAGTCTCCCTCCTGGGGATTCAGGCAGAGACCCCGCGGGAGAGCTGCCTGCATATCGCCAAGGGAGAGAGAGGGGCACAAGCTCTCTCCATGTCAAATGCCCAGAAGGGGCCGCTGTCCACGCAGGTCCCCGAGAACCCGCCGGCCTGCTCCACCGGAGACCTCTCGGCAGCGCCCAGGTCTCTGCAGCTGTGGCCAAAAGCACTGGCCCAGGACCCCAGGGATCTCCGGGCTCAGACACCCCAGGAGCAGAAGCATCTCCACAGCGGCTCAGACCTGAGGCCCAGGTCATCCTGATCCCTAAGGCCCTGTCTCCCCCAACTGGACTCTAAACCAAAGCTGGTTTGGAGCTGGTTCAAAGCCGCTGGGCTGGTTCAAAGCCGCTGTGCCGTGGCCCCACCCGGAGAAGCCAAGCGCCAGCCCTCAGCTGCCTTCCGCCTTCCCCGCTCGGCCCAGCCCGTCTGGATCATCCTTCTGTGTCGGGGAACTACACCCCCACCCCCGCACCAGTGCCCAGAAACACCTCAGGAAAGAGTAAAACTCGCTCCCCTCTGCAGACGCTTTCCCTCCCCCCACCATGCCCCCACAGCTGGGGTGCTCGCCCATTTAGCCAGCCTGCCTTGCCTCGATCACTGGGGCCCGTCAGTCTCCCTTCCTGGACTGGGCGCACAAAGCTGGCAGCAGCCATGTCTGCTCCCCCGGGGCCACCTGAGCCCCAGCTCAGAGGCACGAGTCAGGCGTCGGCAGGAAAGCGCAGCCTTCCCAGGCTGCCTTGGGCCCAGTCTGCCCCAACCACGGAGCCCACCCAGGGCCCGCTGGCCTGGCACCCCTCACCTGCACCCCCAGGATGCCGAAGATGATGAAGAAGGCACAGCAGATGAGAACAATGTTGCCGATGGGCTTGAGGGAGGAGATGAGGGTCTCTACCACCAGCTTCAGCCCAGGAGCCCGGCTGATGACTCTGGGCAGGGAGTGCAGGGCCACGGTGAGCCACAGCCAGGCTGAGACAGCCCCTCGCCCATCCAGCAGGGAGAGGCCCGGGGCAGGGAGGCAGAGTGCCAGACACCTGACGCCCATGCCTGGGCAGCGCAGGCAGTGAGCCTGCCATCCTGCACCTCGGGCCGCACCCCGCCCTCAGGTCCCCCCACTCCTGGAGAGCAAGCCTCCCGGGGTACTCGGCAGCCTGGGGCCACCTTCCGCCCTGCCCTCCCAGCACCCCCAAGCGCCCCAGGACCCTCCCCGGAGCAGGACCGCAGCCAGGCCCACTCAGGACTCCCATCCTCGCAGGCCAGGTCTTCACCGCAAGGGCCGTAGGGTGCGCAGGAGCCGCAGGACCCGGAGGACGCCCAGGATCTTGGCACCCCCTGCCGAGGCCACGGACACCACAATGTCGATGATGGACACGAAGACGAGGAAGCCGTCCAGCACGTTCCAGCTGCTGCGCAGATACGCCTGCTGGCCGAAGTACAGGCCCAGCGAGACCACCTAGGGGCGGGCGACTGGTCAAGTGGCCTCCAGGGCGGCGTGTAGGGAGGGGCAGAGGAATGCAGGGGAGCCGCTGGCCAGGAGGCCGAGGGTCAGCAGAGGGAGGGCGAGGGAAGGCGGGCCCGGGAGCGTGCAGGCGGCCCTCTGCAGCACATCTGGCAAACTCAGCTCGAAGCTACGCACTGTGGGACACGTGTCCCAGCCAGACCCTGCTCCCCCCACCCCCCACAAGCGCCTCCATTCTGCTGGAGAGGCTGCCCTGTGTTCCCCTTCCAGCCGAGCCGGGGCGTCGCTACCCCCTTGGGCCCCAGGAACCCAGCCCAGCGGACACCAAGCAGGGCGTGGGCCCCAAGGGGTCTGCTGCCGACAGGCAGTTGAATGACAAGCTGAGGTGGGCAGGGGCAGGCCAGGGGCACCCTGGGGAGGGGTGGAGGGCCCGGGGGTCGCCTGCGGTTACCTTCAGCGTCATCTCGCCCACGAAGATGGCTGTGAAGATGTAGTTGGACACAGTGAGGAAGATGCGTTCCTGAAAGAGCCGGGGATACCGTGGGCCTAGGTGCTGCCAGGGCTGCCGGCCACCAGGCGGCCTCCGCCAGGGGCGAGGAGAGGCGGCCACCTCACAGGGCAGGGCCACCCTGCCCCAGGCAGGCCCCCTGCCTGGCCCCGCCAAGGTGCTTGAGGCTGACCTGCTGGGTGCTCCTGGCCCCTGGGCCCGGGACACGCTCGCGGCAGGCCCTGGCGCCTACCCGCTGTCCCTGCTCCTTGCCCACCCCGGCCACAGCCACTCACTGTGCTGCCAGCCTCGATCTGGGGCCGCTCCAGGGCGATGGTGATGCAGTTGAGGAAGATGAAGGCCAGGACAACGTAGTCGAAGAGCTTGTGGGCAATGATGGTCTGACATAGGACGCGGAACCTGGCAGCGGGGGTGGCAAGGGCCACGTGACCATGGCCAGCCGCTCGCCCTGACCGGGAGGCAGCGGACTCGGGCCCTCATGGGGGCCAGGACCCTCTCCTCTCCTGTGGCCGCACTGAGGTGCCCCCCGCAGCCCTCTTCCCTGGCCGCACGCCCTCGGCAGCCCCCGGTGCTGCAGCAGGAAGGGCCACCACCATGCCCTGGCCGTCAAGGCTTTCCCGACGCTGGCCCGCCCCCAAGCCCAGGCCTCCCCTGGGGACACATCTGGGGACACACAGCTTCTGCCCCAGACTCTCCACCCGACCGGTCTCCTCCTCCCACTGCTTCAGCCACGGAAACGCTGCCTGACGGCGAAACCAGCGCAAGGCCTTCTCCTCCAGCTGACAGACCCCTCCTACAGGACTTATCCAGCCTGATGCCCAGCACGGCATGGCCTAGACAAGGACATGCCCAGGGGAAACGGCCCGGAAGGCCCCACAACACTGGCTCTGCCGCTCAGACTCAGCCCTGAGAGAACCAGACCCCCCCACACACACTCCGCTGCTAACCCACAGGCTTGCCGGGCCCAGCAGAAAGCCCTAGCTCCCAGACATGCCAGCCCCTGCTCTAGCCCGCCTCAAACCCGGCCTGCCCAACCCGGCCTGCCCACCTGTTCTCTGGGGAGAAGAGGTAGACAGACCAGTCCTCGCGGACCTCACACCAGTCCGGCTTGTAGACGTCAATCATCTTGCGCACGCGGAAGCACAGAGTCTGCAAAGGAGGAGCATGGGGCGGGGGAGTCAGCGCTGCCGCGAGCTGCACGCCTCCATGCTCCAGGCTAACTGGGGCCGCTGGGTGGCCTCGAGCTCTCCCAGCACCTCGCCCACCGCAGGGAGATTTCTCTCCGGGCAGGCACAGGTCAGTGTGCAGCTCCGACCTTGCTCCCCTACCTGAAGCCCTAGGTGCTCCCGCCAGGGGCCGCTTGCCCCGCCCC